TTCGGCCGATAAACGGGCCCGTTGGAATTATAACTCAAACTGGCGAAAATCGGTAAAATATCGGCGAAAATCTGACGAAGTTTTTTGAAAATCGATTTTCAGAAAGAATTTCCCCCTCAAATGAAGTAGTTTTCGAGCACATGTGAGAGAACCTGTACAATAATGAGTCTATAATATTTAACCTTAAAACAAGTGATGGAAATAATATGTCTTGAGCATCGTCTTATTTATTCTGACTGAAAAAGACATGAAATTTTAGTTTTTTTGACGATAAACAGGGTAAAAAGAGCAGACGTTTCAAAACTTTCAATCGGTGCAATACCAGGCCCGGTTGAGTTTTTCAACCGGTCCGACCGGATCGGTACTGGTTCCAGCTCTGGGCTCAAGTGAATGAGCTCCATTTCGATTAATCCAGAAAGCAAATGGTTGGTGTTTTGAATTTTGAACGTTGTATGAGTAAGAATAAGCACTTCTTCTTCATGGAATTCCGAAATGGATGACATGTCAAGCGTGCCAGTCGTAAATGAGTCAGCAGCCGACGATGCGCCTATAATGTAGATGTACACGTCGGACAGCGGTCGAGAGGCGACAGAAGGCACTGTTGAAAATTGTTCAGTCAGATCTCGACGCTTCGACATCGATGTAAATGGCTTGATCAAGAGGTGCTGGCTCACTTCATAGTTTTCTTCAAAATCTGCACGAACTAGTTTCGTCCCACGATAGGACACATCCTTGTAACGATATTTTTCCAGCTTGTCGTGGCGAGCAAAGCAGCCGACGAAAGCAAAAATATTGTCTGTACAGCTTTTCCACATGAGATTCGGTGGGTCCTCGGCAAAAGCTGCATTGATCGTTTGTTTCTCGAGTCCTTTCGAGAAACTAACGGATCTCGTTCATGCCCACATCTTGAAACCTTGCATTATCTTTCAGATGCCGCGCACAGCAATATTCTCGATGATCGTTTCCCAACATCATCGTTCTTCATCTCATATTGATTGATCTCGGATCAGGCTTCTGTCGAACAGATCCATTCCAATATTGCTTGAGCTGGCGGCGTGTCTCTTGTGAAGCGAGATTTGACTGCGGTAGCTGAGCGAGCAAAGAGATCTTTGACGTGGTCTATCGCGACTTCGTCAACCGTCGTACTGTTGTATTTGTTCACTATGGCAACATGTTCAAGGAGCAGCTTGACTATCTAGCAAATGGCGTGCAGACTTGTGCTGCCGTTCAGCTCCAGCTGAATGATTTCGTTCAACATTAATGTGGGCAGTAGGTGATCACCATTACGACACGCTATGCAGAGCGCCAAAAATAATTATTCGGACACTTGCTTTCTTTCTCTTGTATGGGTCAACGATGTAATCAAATTGAATTTTTAAGCACACCGTTCGAAGGCGCAGACTGAGCCTGTCGCAATCAAGTACTTTACTTTGAGAAAAATTCGACTCGATGATACCTAAATAAGGTTTTCATGCAAAACGACATGAGCAAGCGACTCCTCTCGCATCACCAAGAAACACCATCCAGATAGCCTCATTTTTTGATGCCAGCCGCCAGGCGCATCAATTTGTAGAAAATTTTATGCTCTATTTTTCTCATTAGGACAAAATTTTAGCAGTTCGAAGTGAGATGTATACTAGATTTCCACTGTCGTTACCAAATAATTGAAATCGGATAAAACTATTCTAAAAACAGGATAACAGTAATCTAGATGAATCGGGCGATACTAGGTTTCTTTTTATACTTGGGAATGTCCTAAACCCAGTCCACTGAATATGGAATCGAATAAATTTATTTGTGTCTGTCAAAAAATCAGTGATACGGCATTTATGATAATTATTGATATGGACGAACCTCGAAAACCATTGAAACTACCGGTAACATCTGATTCAACAATTAGGTATCTAGCATCCAAAATTATTGCTCGGAAGTATTTTCCCAGAATTCATTCCTGGGAGCTATACTCTTTTTTATGTATATTAACGATCTACGGATGGAATCGATAGCTTAGCTTTTCTTTTTGCTGACGGTGCTTCCTTTCATTAGAGAAATTATTGATATTCTACCTGTTGTTTCCACGTCGGAGCGTATTCTCTACAACTATGACATTCACGTATTGTGTCTTATAGTTTTGTCTTTACCACTTGAACTGACACTTTTTCTCATCAATTTTCTACTGCGCGGTTTTCTTGAACGTTTCGTTGCTACGACTTTTGATTTCACGCTTTATTACACTTTTTTTTTCGCTGTGTAGTTTCAGGTGTGTACGAAACGAAGGTGGAGGAATCTTTCGAGAAAAAGTTTTTATGCGTCTTTCGGAGAGTTGAAATAAATGTGATAATATGCTTGTATTGTTTTCATGAGTAAATAGCCCGTAATGTCTTTCAAAACGAAAGCCACATGAGACCTTGATTTAGATTAAAAAAGATACAGCCCAATTCAGCATTCGATCGTTATACTAGCACAGTTAGTCGAGGGCTTTTCTGGTCTAAGACTGCCAGTATCACAGATGAACTTATGAAAACACAGCTTTCGATGCAAATAAAAAATCCAAATGAGTTTTCACAGAACTTTCTGAACTACCATGACTTTCCGGCTTTCTCTTGGGGCTGCGGTTATGAGAGATAATATATGTAATATAAAAGAGAAATGAAAATAGTAAAAAAGCAGCATTCTTTCAAGTTTGATGGTAAACTAACTGAAACATAGTCTTGCAAAACGTGAACTCTCTGGGAAGAAGCCGACCACTAAAAAACCTTAGATCTTTGCACTGTACAACGTAATCGAACGCGCTGATTCCGAATATGTAAGAATTCTGAAGGCCTTTTCTCTACAAAAGAAACATCAAATTTTCATGTGCTGAGCATTAGAGTATAAGTACCTTGGAACAAATAAAAAATGAAGGTCGTGTTTGGTATACGAGGGAGTGTTAAGTGTGTAAATTGTTTTGCATGTTATTTTATTTTTTTTTATAACTTTTGCGATTTTTCCGGGCCCCGCTTTTTTTTCAATTTACGAATTCAAATATCAATATATGGTAACTCGTGTACTTCGGACCTCCATATGACACATTTGTTGTATAAGTATATATCTTAGAATGAAATTGGGATTGTGTAATACAATGTTCTTTCCTATCTGCACAGGCCATTGGTTACTATACGGAGAATTAGGACTGTGTACTGTAACGTAAGATGTCGTAACTTGACGTAATTTGGCCATGATCCTATGCTCCGTAACACTGCGGCCGGAAACAATCTTTTACGACCATAGCGGACCTGTATACGCTCGTTTACGGTGGCAGTATTACAGAGCATAGGATTACGGTGTTGTAAATCGATTTTACGGTCGTTTACGGGCCGTGTTGAATCACATGGGTGCTTAAATGTTAAGGTGTTGGTTTTATTCTGCGGACAGGTGTGCACATCTTTAACTTATCTTGACTTGAATTAATTAATGAGAAATTACGAAATTAAAAGAGATATATAGAATATATAGTACAACTTGTGTACTTCATATTAGTATAAAAGTGGAGAAGTGTTTTAGTTTTAATTCGCGAAGTTGGCAGAATATAGAATAAATTCACAGTTAGCACTTTTAGTTTTTGAGATATATGACTGTGAATATCGCTGATTATCGTTTAGAAAAGCAAGTTTTTGTAGTGATAAGACAAATGGGAACAATATTTCGAAATATAATTTAGTAGAAACACAACAACTGTAACGGGTGGCCCAGATAAAACCGGCCACTTTTGTTCTTTGTTTTTGAGGCACTTCCTAGTGGTCCAAAGAGTTGGTTCTAGGCTCATTCGATAGAGAATGGAATTCTCTACAAACCTGCTATTTAAGTCTCTGATAGCATTTTTCTCGTTTGAGCACCATTCAAAATGAATGATGCTGAGTTGTCGAATTGCGACGTGCTTCCGTCGTCTTCTTTTTGATTTTTAGCCCATTGTCTGAGGTTCAACAGTTCATTTTTCTACGTACAAAGCTAGAGACTTTTATGCTCTATCGATCTCACTTATTCACAACTTCGTACAATGTTTCCGCTATGTCAGCTGGACTCATAATTAGCTCTCAACTGACTTTTCAATTTTTTATACTAAAGTCGGGGAGACTTATGAGGTTCAAATAATGATGTAGCATTCTGAAAACATGCGACCCCTTCTTTCGTTCAGTCAGTGTTTGTAATATGATTTTCAAATGTAGTGACGTGATGTGATCTGGCTTTTTAAGCGGAGGGCATGCCCTATAAGTGGAGGATATGTTTGCGGTGCGCGGGCACCGCAAACATAAGATTTTTTTGCGAAATGCAATTCAGTAAAAATTTGAAAAACGATTGTACAGAGTAAAGTGCGTTTCTGTATAACATAAGCATAGCTTAGAGATTTTATCTTACATACTGCGTTAATTATCTTCAAAACAGTAATGCATTTAGAGGGTAGGCATTACGTTAATTATTCGCTGAATACATATAAAAACATTGTGATGGAATGAATCATATAGTATGAGAACGTATTCTCTTATAAATGCACCTGTCACATGAATGGACTCAGATTAATTATCGGTTTTTTTTTGAAAAAAATTACAAATCCCAGACGTTCAAATCACGTACTTTCAAACGTCCTAACTCTCCACTGGAACATCTGAAAAGACTGAAAATAGCTTATTTATTCATTCAGACACACAGTACTGTATGCACGTTTAAAATTTTATTGTACCCCTTCTAGTTCCCGAGAAAGTCGTTACAAAAAATTACATTTTTTCGATCTAGAAAAGAAAGACGCAGTTTATTACTATAATGCGGTTTTGCTTCGCATCGCATTAAAAAGGTAAATTAAAACACAGTTATGTGCCGAATGCGTTGCCGTTCTAAAGACTCTGAAAGAAAATATCATGCGGTTGGATATTCTTTATTTCAAAGAAACCTTCAAAGACATAAATATAATATTATAATTTGATAGCTTCAAAATATTAGAGTCATATTTGAAGAATGATGCCTTTCTAGTTAACTAATGCAGGTGTAGTGGTATTGTTCTTTTGCAGCAGCAGCATTTCTGTCTTTATAGCCTCTTCTATGGTCACTTTGTCATTTGAATAAAGCGCATTTATTCCTTTTAAGTTGAGAATTTCCAATAACTTCTCATCAACACCGCGACACTCAAAGTTGGTAGTACTGAGCACATTGGGCTGATGCAATGTTTGCACTCTCTCGCGTGATTGCATCACTTTAGGATGGACTCTACTAATCATTGCACGGTCGTAATAAGAAATTGAATCAGTTAGGTTCGGCTGTTTGGAGAGAGATTCGGCCAGAAGAACCGCATCCAGTAATGCTTGGTTTGCACCCTGTCCCTTGAACGGAGACATGGGGTGTGCCGCATCCCCTAACAGGGCAATTGACTGGCATGAATGTTCGTCTGGTGGCTGCGTTGGATCGCGATCATACGCAGGTATTCCCATCAATAAATTAACGGATGTAGAATCAATCATCTGTGGAATCGGAGTGTGCCATTTGCAGCATCTTTCTTGCACGTGTTGTTTTAGCAGCAACATGCTCTGATTAAGCTTAAATGCCTCTTCTTCCGCAATTGGAAATGATAGTTGCCACATCACACTTTCCGAAGGGCTGTCTTTGGAATACGGCATTACAAACAGTCTAGTGCATCCATCTACAGTCTGGAACACTCGCTCTTTACCCAGCATGTGTTCGCACCCAGTAATTCCCAATACTACCATTATACCAAGGTACCCCAATTTGCTGCTGTCGTTTGGATACTTGAACTTACGCACTGCACTGTTTATGCCGTCACATCCAATAATTAAACCAGCATCCACCTTATGTCCATCCTGAAATACTGCACAGTGCCCATCAACTATATTCGTCAATCTACTATTCCAATGAATTCCCTCATTTGATAGTGGATGCAGCTTAATATATTGGTCCATAAGAATAGCCCGCAGCTGCTGTCTTCCAATGTGGAGATTGTATTTTTTGTTAGTCACGTGATTCGATTCAGGGGTAGGCCAAAACAGTGTTCCAAAGAACCCAATGATAGATCCATTGCTATGGAAAATAAAATGAGACCTAGATGGCGTATCTAAATATTTCACTGTATCAAAAACACCCAGCCATTTCAGTGCAGATACACCCTGCAGTATTGTTAGCCCATAGCCCTGCCTTCTGCAGTCCATTGTGCTATCCCTTTCATGTACAGTCACATTAACATATCCCTTCTGCAATAATGCTATTCCCACTGCAAATCCCGCTAATCCTCCACCAACGATCACTATGCGTGTATTTTTATCCATTTCTGCATTACCCCTGCACCAGCAACCCAATCTAACAAGGACGAATAATTGGTCAGAGAAAATAATTGGTCATGTAAATTTTACACAATACAAACAAAAAATGAACGAAAACAACTTCTCTTCTCTATCGTCGACAAAGGCTAGCATAATCTTTATCATAGTGATACGGTTGTTATAATTTTGTCGATCAAGATAAGATACAATGAATCGATAGTAAAATGACGAAATCACCATTGATATAAAATGAGACGAGAGACTCTACGATTGCTTGCAATAAGCATGCGTTAAGATGCTCTAAAAGTGCGAGTTTGATTAGAACAAGCTTCTTTACTGTTAAAAAATCATTTTTTCTTGAAATGTATTATAGATGGAACTTATCCTCGTTTCTGATTGGTTCGTACTATATCAGTGAGAAAGTGCGTGAAGACAATTCTTCTTTTTTATTTTTATTCTTTTCTCTTAAGAATTAATATTTTATATATGTTATCAGGCAGCTGTTTAGATATTGTGGTCAACAGAAGTGATCTAGCGGCCAAAGGATGCTGTTGCTACGGCCTTAGACGTTTTTTTTTGGCAGTTTTTCTTTGCCTTACATACATTGCAAAAGACTTGTAATCAATAATTATCCATTCAAAATATAATTTGAGCTTGGTTTGGTGTTTATGGGCTGTGGCGGG